GATTTTTAGTTATGAGGGCCAGAAGAGCGAACTTGGTTGATTTTGCACTACGCGTGTAGTGGAAAATCGAGTGAAAATCACCCGCCCTGTCGATTTTTTTTGGATATTTTAATTTTATCTCGTTGTTTCTATGATAATAAACAACCTGTATCGTTTTTAGCGGGGCCTTCGATCTAGATTTTTAGTTATGAGGGCCAGAAGAGCGAACTTGGTTGATTTTGCACTACGCGTGTAGTGGAAAATCGAGTGAAAATCACCCGCCCTGTCGATTTTTTTTGGATATTTTAATTTTATCTCGTTGTTTCTATGATAATAAACAACCTGTATCGTTTTTAGCGGGGCCTTCGATCTAGATTTTTAGTTATGAGGGCCAGAAGAGCGAACTTGGTTGATTTTGCACTACGCGTGTAGTGGAAAATCGAGTGAAAATCACCCGCCCTGTCGATTTTTTTTGGATATTTTAATTTTATCTCGTTGTTTCTATGATAATAAACAACCTGTATCGTTTTTAGCGGGGCCTTCGATCTAGATTTTTAGTTATGAGGGCCAGAAGAGCGAACTTGGTTGATTTTGCACTACGCGTGTAGTGGAAAATCGAGTGAAAATCACCCGCCCTGTCGATTTTTTTTGGATATTTTAATTTTATCTCGTTGTTTCTATGATAATAAACAACCTGTATCGTTTTTAGCGGGGCCTTCGATCTAGATTTTTAGTTATGAGGGCCAGAAGAGCGAACTTGGTTGATTTTGCACTACGCGTGTAGTGGAAAATCGAGTGAAAATCACCCGCCCTGTCGATTTTTTTTGGATATTTTAATTTTATCTCGTTGTTTCTATGATAATAAACAACCTGTATCGTTTTTAGCGGGGCCTTCGATCTAGATTTTTAGTTATGAGGGCCAGAAGAGCGAACTTGGTTGATTTTGCACTACGCGTGTAGTGGAAAATCGAGTGAAAATCACCCGCCCTGTCGATTTTTTTTGGATATTTTGAATTTATTTTATTGTTTATATAATAATAAACAACTTGTATCATTTTCAGCGGGGTGTTCTATTTGGTTTTATAGTTAGGAAAGCTAGAGGTTTGATTTAAAATATATTCTTTATAGTACAGGACATTCCGAGTTGAATGACCTTTATTTAGGAGGTGCGCCTCAAAAAAAATTTTTTTATTTAAAAATGGGGAACAAAAGCGGGATATTTTTGTGGATTTTTTCATACGCATGATGCAGGCTTAAGTTTACGATTCGTTGGTGTTACACGACTCCCCTATACTCCTCTTCTTCGACGGACAGTACAATACATATACCGTATAGTGTTTGACGTTTCGACTTTCCTCAGTTCATTCGCTTTGATTTTCGAATAGCTTACATGTATACACCTACACTGTGCATACGCGCCTCGTCGGGTGAGCTGGCGAGGTCGTATACCACAGAGCGGGGGTGATCCGCACATACCTCTGCTCCCCCCCCCCGACGGTCTTTTTCTTAAACATAATAATATAATATGTGCCTATACATGTTCGAGAAAAACCCTGCGTATATAATAGCTGCGGGTGTAATTTATGGAACCTCTCTCTTACTACACGGGGCACTCGTGTGTGACGGGGTTTTGGGCCCCGATGACTAAATGTTTTATTGTCTTTGTAGCGCAGACCCGCTACCTCGCTACTTCCTCCCGGATAAATTTACGGTTTTTGAGGACGTTTATTGTGTCGGGCTAATCATCCGTGCCGGCTGTTGTTCACACTCGAGGAAATGCATTGTGTTACGATGAGGCAAATTTTTCACCTATAACGCAGGCGTGTATCACGTTGGCATGCACGACGCGCGAGAAAGAAAAACCACGCGCCTCGTAGGAATGTACCTCGAGAACGGGTTTGTGACACTTCAAAAAGTACCTCGGACCGGTGGAAATTACGAGTGTCGTGGTTACAGGGGCGGGGGTAGAGGTATATATGGGTCCGTCTGAATTTTTGGCCGCTCGATTTGACTTGAAATACCCAAGCAGATACCGCACGAGCCGGTGAGCGGCCGACTCGTAGGTGGAAAGGTGGCTCGTATTGTTGGTCCCAGGGGTGTGTTTCTCGGAGTAGAAAAAGAGCATGGGGGATCGGCAGCGGCGAAGAGGAGGAGGGAAGAGGCGAGCCAGCAGTAAAGCACTGGCCAAATGGGAATTGAATCGCAGCGGCTGGCGAAACTTTGAACCAAAGCCGTATATATAGCTTGTGGAACGAGAGTGGGCAAGGGGGAGAGCGAGAAGAAAGGGAGATAAAGACGGAAGCGCTTAACGACTTTGAGACGGCAACGCGATTAAAAGTGCTCGGGTGCACGTACATCACCCGAAAATAGAGTCTCGGGTGAATTAGTTATTCGGAAAAAGTCGTGCTTTCTCTTTTGCGAGGTGGATATTGCGGTAGTGGTGGTGGTGCAGATTTCTTTTTTTTCGCAGCGAAGAACAGCTTATGTACTTATTTATACGTAGGCACGAGTTGTTGAATCAAGGGCCGCTCGACTAGCCCCGCTAGGATACCTGCCTGCCTGACCGTGATGTGTGTCCTGTTGCATATGCCTCGGGGGTCTGGTTCTCCGAGCGTGTCGTGTTTACGAGAGACAACCAACGAAATGACAAAAAGTACAATATTTTCCACGATGGTGGTAAAAGTAGTCTTTCATGGTTAAAAAATAGATCCAAGTGCTGTATAGGGTAATCGATCAACCTGCTCCAAGTTTATTTTCAAGAATAATTTTTAACGATGAATAAAACAATCCTGATCGTCAATGTTACAAGCGTAGCATTAGTAAAGTAATGCAACGAATGAAAATGATCATTGTGGAGATTATTCTCTAGTATTTGAAATATATCGGATAACTGGAGCTGGTTTTGCTACTTAAAATAAATATTTTAAAAAAATAAGAATAAAAATGGATCGAGATTTAACGGTTGTTCGATAAAAGCTTTATATGAGCAAAATAACACCTCCCGCATAGGTGAATAAGTGAAAAATAAAAAAAAATTTAGAAGAAGCGTAAAGAGAGGAGGAAAAAGACTGTGCATAAACGTATAAGAAAAAAGAAAAACAACTAAAAAAATTAAAGATTAAATCAGCGATAAAAATATGGGGAAATAAATTCTGGAAAGTGAGGAAAAAAACATTGCATAAAATACCTGATGGTGAATTTTACTAATGCGATACATGAGAAAAATAGAATTTTTCAGACCATTTTTTGAAGCGGATTATCAAAGTTACTTTAAAAAGGAATCATAATATTCTAATTACTCATAATTTTTACATGCACCAAATGATAAATGAAACATTATTCAAAGTAGATGGCGCCGTTTCCTACGTGCTCTGCGTGCTGAAACCCCCGAATTTGAATTCTAATTGTATTTATTATACATTTTTTTCAAGAAAATTTAAATAATGAGTTTTTTCACAACGCATCACATTAATCTTTATTTAGTTTTTAAATTTAATTGTTTTTACGTACTTTTTTCAAAACAACATCATTTGTTGTTTTTTTTTTTTTTTCATCATTTTGAAAAATTAAACTCATTAAATTGACCATTTACTCTATCTTAATATATCAGATAAGAAATAGGTCAGTTTCAGTCAAGAGAGAATATATTTAATTATAACATAATTAATGCAAAATAAGAAATTACTTGAAATGAAAATCGCTACGTTTGTATTTATTTATTCACGATCCAATTTGACAGTTAGTGGTACGACTCGTTAGAATTATTTTTCTCATCTTAGTGATATACTAATCATTTAAATCACACAAGTGTAAAAGTATGATAATAATACGTACTCAGAGGAGCACTAAGAATAATTAACCCATACTTATAATTAGAATTTAAATTGATAGTTTAAAATATTAAAAAAAACATTCGTGTACATAGTAGCATTTAAAGAGAATAAACAAAAAGAGGGATCATTTTAAGCATATTGTTAAATGATTTTTTAATACAGCTGAGCTCAAAATTTTCTGTTCGGGATTAAACTTAATGTCTAATTTTACGAGAAAAGGTACTAAATATTTTTTGTATTCGCTGTATTATTAAGCCATTACATCCCTGTGTCACATTAACACGCTAAGAGAACCAGGCTCCAGGGAACATCTACTTTATGTGGCACTTACGTGCAGTTTGTTTGTCTCATTGTTTTATAGTGACATATACGCACATAATATATACGACTTCCGGACGAGGCGTCCTTCTAATTGATAGGCTCGCCAGTGTTTTTGTATTTTCTTTCCTCACGTAGCTATATTGTTTTTTTTTCCCGTTTTGTGTCTAAGAATGTTCAGTTTGAACAGATAGTTGTCCAGAATATTCTTTAACGTAAGATCTACTTGCCACTGTAGGGGTTAAAGTCTTTTTTTCAACTTTTTACTAAACCTATAGTGTCCTGTTACTTAATATTATCAATAATCTTTATTTGTTACGAAACCGTTTACAACTTTACGAAATAATATTAATTTGGTAATATTTTTTCATAAATAATTAAAAAACTTTGATTAACTTTAGAAAGACAAAAAAAAAAAAAAACTGTTCATCCCGGTATTTTTTTCTTTTTAAAGGTAAAACTTTAAATGGGCTCAGGATATCATTATAGGAAAGTTGAAAAACTTTTTATTAAAATTGCTATACATATTTTACTGTTACTTGATTTTCGCAAACGCGAAAAATGACTGAATAAATATATTGAAATATATGGAATCAAAGATTATGTATTTATCATGTCGATCCATTTCTTCACGGAAATTAAAAACTCTAGATGCATTTTGCAAACCGAGAAACCAAAATAGCAAATTTTTTAAAACTCAAAATATAGATAATGCCTTTTTTCACTAACCGGACGCAACCGGACATTTTTCCATCTTTCACGAAACGTAAGAAAAATTGCACCGAAAAATGCTCCCAATAATGAAATAGATCACCTTAGAAAAAGAGCTACGATCATTTAGTGCAGACCATACTACGTAGCCCATAAAGTTTTTGCCGGCTGATTAAAAGCTCGCGCAGTAAGTATCGACTTTTCTCCCCCTCCCTTCGTCTCTTGCCTCAACTCCTATAAAACTCATTACACTATAAATCGTAGAACAACTTACCCCCGCGATTCAGCACGTACGGCAAGCTTTTGGTTTTTTTTTTTATTCATACCCAGGCTGTACAGGGTAAAAATGGCACCGAGTCAGGATAAAAAAAACGACTTGATGAAAAAAAAAAAAAAAAAAAAAAAAAAAAAAAAAAAAAAAATGTACCGATGAGCAATGAGTGATTGAAAAACATCGCGGTTACACGTAAAATGGTATAATTATAACGTGTGGGTGTACTACTCACGTTGCGCCCAGTTTGTAGTAATGTATCTCCCACTAGAGAGAGAGAGAGAGAGGGTGCCAGCCAAGCCACCCTGAGGCTGCTCGGGGGCGGCTCTCCGAAGAGACACCACACGGGGAGGCGGTGGGTCGAGCAGGTGGCAGCGGGAGCAGCAGTATTAGGTATATATATGTATATATATATATATATATGACACACGCGCACACGGATAGAGTTATATACTTGGCACGGATAGATAACAGACACACATACACGACACTGGCACTCTATGATATACAAGTATATACTGGGGACACGAAAGAGAGAGCAGGCGCAGGTTGTTTCCTCGACGGCTGCCGGGTGGCGAGTGGGTGGGCAGGCGGGGTGGCAGCCGCCCGACGTCGGGTGGATGGTGGGCGAGAGTGGGTGTCCCTCCCTCCTCTCCAGCTGCTCGTCTATATACGTATATACATATACACACACACCTCCCTGCTGTTGCTGCCGTGCACGGCTCATAATGTATATACGGGTGTATATCTATGTAGGCATGACGGGAGGGACAGAGAGAGAGAGAGAGAACAGCTCTCAGAGGAGGGGTGGGGTTCCGAGCCGATGCCTGCCTGCTGCCACCCCCTCGTTGCTTTATCCTCATTCAGAGCTAGCTGGGCACATTGTACGTGAAACATATATATACACCGGGGGTAACGCTACACACATATATACACATTGGCAGGGGGAGCCCAAGGAAACGACGAGGGAGGAGGAGAAGGAGGAGGAGGAGAGAAAAACGTCGTAGCTGATGCAGCAGCTAGGGCATCACGCACTTTTGAGAAGTAAGTATATATATATATATATATAGGATGGAGGAGCGAGGGAGAGAAAATAAAGAAAAGAAAAAAGCAGAAGAGAGCCTCTGGGCCCCGCAGATGCGAGGACGGGGCCGCTTTCTTCTAGCCCCTCGTAAAACGAGCACCGCCACCGGGATTATACGTATATACGAGAGTTAAGCGCTCCAAACACCGCCCGCACGTGTTTTCTCGTAGGCCCGAGCAGCATCGCATGTATACACTTGCGGGCGCTTGCCTGTACCGCACTACCACCTATGTATTATACACGTACATAGTTGAACGGGAGAAATATAAATCTGAAAAAAAACCCCTTTCCGCTCCTTCTCTCTCTCTCTCCTGCCCGAGATGTGTGTCCTCCTCCCCCACCCACACCCTCCCCCGTCTTTTTCCTCCCGCTCGTTCTTCTTCTGTTCACGCTGATCCCTCAGGCTAGCAGCTATATACTCTGTTGTTGCCCCTGCCTATATGCCCGAGCATCGTCGTCAACGTCGCTCCACGGGAACATAGTATACGTATATATAACAGCACACCCATCCCGCCCCCTCGAGGGCCCCCGCTCGTGTGCAACAAAATCCTCGACCGTATAAGCGTAGAGAACATCGGTCCCTCTCTCTCTCTCGCGCGTCCCAATATACCTTAACCTGCCCGTCATATATTATAACATACATTCCTTTTCTACTTCTCTGCCAGCTCCAATACATGTACACACACGCGCGCACACTCTCTCCTCGTCACTTCAGTTTATGTATATACAGCATGATATGTAACGGTGGCATTTCCCGAGAACCACGTGTAGAGCGATTTTTTCTGACGCGAACCCCGTTGGAATTAATTTTTTAGGGCAAATCGCTTTTAAATAGGAGCCGATTGAAAATACGTTCCAAACTACCCCTAAATGGGGTTGGAAGGCTATAGCACGCCCGCATGAACTCGCGACGTTGCCACATTGTTATTGGAGCTTAGTCGGTAAGCAGTGAGAACTATATCCATGTGCGCACGCAAGAGCGTCAGCTACTGCTGGTAACTTGAAGGTTGGATGTAAAAATTTTTACCTTGAGGTAAATATTGTCTGCTCCTTAAGTTGTCAGTTGTTTATCCACGCGCTTACTGTCTTTCTCACTCTCATGTTGGACAAAAACATCTTTAAATTTTTATACTTAAGTAATGTTACCTCGAATGAAAGTAAAATACCATATCAGTAGGGATTTTTCCACTCTACACGATCGTATTTTTGCAAAAATAGTCGAGCTCTCGGTCAAAAATATTGTTAGGTATGTCTTGCTTATGTTCCCGGGTATGTCGTCTGTACACGATTTAGAACGAGTCCATTCATAAATTGCAATAATCAAGTACCCGCCAAGTGCCCGGGAAGTACCCGCCAAGTGCCCAGGAAGTACCCGGCAAGTGCCCGCCAAGTACCCGGGAAGTACCCGCCAAGTACCCGAGGAAGTGCCCGGGAAGTACCCGAGAAGTACCCGCCAAGTGCCCGCCAAGAACCCGAGGAAAAGCCCGGGAAGTGCCTGGGAAGTACCCGTCAAGTGCCAAGGAAGTACCCACCAAGTACCCGGGAAGTACCCACCAAGTACAATACTGTCGGGTACTTGCCGGGCACTTCCTCGGGTACTTCCCGGGCACTTCCAGGGTACTTGGCGGGTACTTCCCGGATACTTGGCGGGTACTTCCTTGGGTACTTCCCGGGCACTTGGCGGATACTTCCCGGGTACTTCCTCGGGTACTTTATGGTTACTTGGCGGGTACTTCCCGAGTACTTGGCGTGCACTTCCCGCGTACTTTGCGGGCACTTCCTCGGGTACTTTCCGGGCACTTGGTGGGGACTAAATTCGATTAAATTTAACTTCTGTATGTTATTAACTATTTTTTATTCTCAATGTGTCAGTTAATATTAATGGTTAAGTTTTAACTGAATAAAGATGTACATTAAGCAAACTTTTTATTAACGTGACATTTTTTAATTATTATTCAATACACTAAAAAGTTTACGATTTTTTTGAAAAGATGTTCGATAATTTTTGTTGAAATAATTAGATAGTATTTAGAGCATTTTCAAACGTATTATTTTAAAGTATGTAAATTTGGATGATAAATAAATGATTTTTATGAGCAATATCAACTGTAATATACTTTGATTATTGCAATTTATGAATGGACTCGTTCTAAATCGTGTACAGACGACATACCCGGGAACGTAAGCAAGACATACCCAACAACAATATTTTTGACCAAGAGGTCGACTATTTTTGCAAAAATACTATCGTGTAGAGTGGAAAAATCCCTACTGATATGGTATTTTACTTTTATTTGAGGTAACATTACTTAAGTATAAAAATTTAAAGATGTTTTTGTCCAACATGAGAGTGAGAAAGACAGTAAGCGCGTGGATAAACAACTGACAACTTAAGGAGCAGACAATATTTACCTCAAGGTAAAAATTTTTACATCCAACCTTCAAGTTACCAGCAGTAGCTGACGCTCTTGCGTGCGCACATGGATATAGTTCTCACTGCTTACCGACTAAGCTCCAATAACAATGTGGCAACGTCGCGAGTTCATGCGGGCGCGCTATAGCCTTCCAACCCCATTTAGGGGTAGTTTGGAACGTATTTTCAATCGGCTCCTATTTAAAAGCTATTTGCCCTAAAAAATTAATTCCAACGGGGTTCGCGTCAGAAAAAATCGCTCTACACGTGGTTCTCGGGAAATGCCACGGTTACATATCATGCTGTATATTTTGTTTTTCCCCTTGTTCTTCGACGCTTCGCATGAACTTGGGAGAACGGGAAGGAGTGTCATCGCGCGAGAATGATCCCACCGTGGAATGTGTTGTTATACATACACGTAAAAGTTGTCGACCGATCCCGAGCTTTTATTTGTAAACAGGTGGCTGCAATATGTTGAAAGTTTGATCGAGTCGATTCCGATGGGATTTGCCGATTCGGTCAACGGAGCGTCTCGGTCGTTTCGCCTTTTGTCGTCGCCTCGGGCTGGTGTACAAATATTTTTGGTTTACCACGTGTATTAACAATGAAAAAACAAAACCCATTGGAATTTTCGTTGAACATTCAAGTATTACGTTGAATTTTCACGGTATGATCCAAATGGACTGTTGCTGGAATTCGCTTGCCCAACATTTTTGTTTCGACCAATCGCGTGGCAGTGATTTTACTGAGCGACCCAATTCTTTGAATCAAAGAAAATTTCTTTACCCTCATTCCGTTGAATATTTTTTTTTAATTGAAACAAATTTAGTCGATCCAAAAAAATCATTTCGTACAACTAAATGAGAAATTCGTAATTAAAAAAAGAAAATTTGAATTTAATAAAATATTAATTTCAATCAACTTATATTTTTTTACTCATATAAGAAAATATTTAACGAAATTTTCTTTGATTCAAAGAATTGGGTCGCTCAGTGCAACAACTCACGTTAATGGCCATCCACTACGGTATGTTGCACTAGAGAAATAATTGTAACGCCAACAAATGGGTGAAAACAGAAAAATTTACAGCTAACGAGTAGTATACAACAACGAAAAGCGCTTAGTTTCAAAAGAATTTTTTTCTCCCTCCACCTCTCTGAATCCACAAATTACTCATTTGTATGCGCCGAGCGGTTCCCGGGGTTGCTTTTAACGAGAGATTTGAACAATTTACCCACGGATCTGGCTCCAAAAAAATCGCAAGCACGATATCGTTCGCAAAAAAAACACGGGTATACCCAAGTACGCGTTATCACGATAAAAATCAAACGCAACACCCGTATATAAAGGCTCACAGCGCCAGATTTACAAGACTCTTTTATTTTTTCTGACCCCACCGAATTTGTTCATTTCACATGAATTACGGTGCGGGCCTGGTAAGGCTCACACGTTATTTCCCTACCATCAAGTCCAACGTGCCCATACGAGAGGAACTGTAGCTACAAGGAGAGGAGACTATATATGCATTACCTTGTATGTACTACCGCAGGGGTGGGTTTCCGCGAGAGAAGCACGTGTCCTGGGACCCGCCACATATAGTGGCCTCGTACTACGGATATCACGAACGGATTACGTGAGATCCGAGCCGCTCAGCCAAACGTCGGTGGCACCTATACCGGGATGACGCTCTCGTGCACTTTGCTGCGGAGGGAGGAGGGTTCATTTTCCCTCCGACATCGTACATCGAAGCCACATTACTTACTCATGTATATATATACGCGCGCAGCGGCGTTTTGGCATGGAAAGAGAGAATACGGCTGTAAAGTCGAGGATCGATGGCTTCTCGGGGAATCGGCGAGTATTATATATGTAAGGTCCCTCGCGTCCCCACCCCCTGACATCACGTCTACCTCTTCTTGCCGTTAGTTTTGTTTAACGCGATTTCCTGCATTATTCATGACTCCGGCTTCGTACCTGTATATGTATACATATAAACCTTGGAAAATTATGCGCGTGAGCTTTCCTGCTATCTGACGCTGCGCGAGACACGGTTAAGGAATTAAGGAAGATGATGATGGTTGTCTCGCGTCGCCGTGAATAATTATACTATTAAAATTTCGACCTCAGCGCCACGCGTTTCTATTCGAGCTATGGAAAAAGGGGAGGAAAACTGTATGAAAAAAAAGTCGCACAAAATTTCTCCGCGTCTCATTGAACCGCGAAAGCTATGAGTCTTGAGCTTTTCTTATTCGATTGCCCCCCTTGACGCGGTTATGCGCTCGAAGAACTTTGTTACCCCGAGCCCAGGGGGAGCCAGCTCAAAGACACCGCGGAAGTTGGAAGGCAGCCAACTGCCTTACCGGCGTCCGCTCACGAGGACAACACTTTTGGCTGTTATCAGGCTAGCCGATCGATACACGAATCTTTTGAATTGCTTCGCTTTGAGTCTTATTGCTGAGATTGATTAATTGGAATTCCCGGTGATGGATACAGTGTGCTATTATTGACGCTCACTTCTTCGCAGTACACTCAACTCGAGCGCGTAGTCCAATCGGATGGGTAAGTAAGCAAAAAAAAACAAAAAAACTAGAAAAAGTTTTCTCTTTCACGTAAATCATGAATAAGGTTTGGGGAAAAATAAGAAAAACCCGCGTAGGTAAATATTAACATCGCGTAACGCGAGACAAACGGCGGGGGCATTATTTTCCTCCCTCTAATCTCTCGTAGGCAATAAAGTGCAGATGAGACCTGCATAATTAATAAAAGAACCGACCACCCTCCTTTGTCCCGAAAGTATATATATATATGTATACGTATATCGTGTAAGAGACCAGTGGAAAACCGTCCCCCCGCCGCCCCCTGTGACAGTGAGAAAGAGCTGCGGATTAATCCCTCGGTGAAAAAGCACACACAGCCCGTCGCTCCGGTCCTTCGTGTAAACAATCATTCGGCCAACTCTCTCGTTTGTGTAAAAGTCGTATGCATCATTCAGGGCAGGGTTGCGTTTAATCCAGATCAAAAAGAAAAGATAAGAAAAAACGTCGATACTCCAGTTGTATTGTCGAAACGTCTCGGCCTAGATGAAAACAACGCGCTCTGCTCCTTTTCTTTCGTGCCTTTGCTCGTGTATACCTATACACACGTTAAACACAGCCTTTGCACGGGTGACAACGATCCGTGCACCAAAGCACAAGAGTCGAGCAAAACAGCGCGTAAAGTCGATGAGAAACATAACCAACGTAAGGGGGAGAAAAAAAAAAAAAAAAAAAAAAGGATAACAAATTCAAACATCGTGGGAGCGAACGCGCGCAAATGCGTGCAAGCTCGCCCAATAGTAACAGAGTCAGGTGGTGGGGTTGAAACGCTCGCTCCGCTCGACCGAACATCAGAAGCAACAGCTTAGGTATAGAGCTCGTGTGTATAGGTGCAGGCAACGGTGAGCCAAATATACCTATACCTGGCACCTGCAGAGACGAGATCAAACGACGAGAGGTCAACGCGAAAATCCAACCGCGCAAGCTCGACCCACACATAAATGCAGTTATATACGTATACATAGGCTCTCTCTCTCTCTCTCTCGGCCCGAAAATTCTCGCACCAGCTGAGTAAAAGCCCTTGCTTGCGCTGCACGTAAACACACACGCGCGCAGAAGCGCGAAAGACTATTCGCGGGTGAGAAAGAGAGAGCACCGCTATTATATACCCGTGGTATATGTATTGCCGATGGCGCGCGCCGTATACACCTACACGCGGTGAATTCGAGCAGCGCACGCTAAGCTGCTTTGGTGTGTCTATACATATATATGTACATATATATAGCCAGTGGCCGCCATATTGAAAGCTCGGAGAGGAGCTTTTTCCCTCTCTCTTTACATCTCTGTGATCTTCTTACGGCCCTGCCATCGGTATCGAAATATTGTGTACTGTGGATACATATATATATAATATACAATATAAATACCAAGCTCGTGCGAGCACCAAAAAGGATCATATACACGTTTATATAGATACTTTGGTCTAAAAATACGCGCTCCGAGCAGTGCAAAGGCACGGGTTCTATACTTGGGGTAAAAGTATAGCTGCGCGTGCATACACGATACAGGTGTACGGATGCAAGTATCGAAGTAAGTATATAGGGAAAAACGTGGAGCCCGGATCATCAGCCGGCAGGAGAGCTGTCAGCGGAGAAAGAGACGGCAGCGCCGCGAGGGTGAAAGCTCCGGCACATGTGTATACATAGGACTGCTTGTGTAGGCGTAAATGCGGACGATGCCTCGCGCAGCTGGCGTGCAAGTAGTACGAGTCCGAATGCGACGGACCGAGTTGGCCGAGTAGCGGTGGTTAAGGCGCATCGCGCTTCCCCTTACCACACGAGTATACGCTCCTCGTTGTCGCAAACAACGAATCATCGTACGCGTTTAGTACGTATAAGTGCCAGTGGGGTCGTACAATTATACACCTTGGACACAAGTGTTACCCGGTGCACGGGAAGAGGGTATTTTTATGGTACGAGATGATGGGCCGAAAGGCGTTGGCGGACCACGACAGCGGCAGCTGTAGTACAGGGGAGCGTCTGCACAACGAGCCGTTGACCCCCCACGTCTTCGTCGTCCACAGCCGTCCGATATCCCAGTGATCCTCTCACGGTACGCCGTGCCGGTGGAGGGCGCGCGCGCACCCCAACGACCGAGAGAGGGAGAGAGAGAGGATATCCAGGAGCGTGAAAAACAGTGCACGACACGGCTAATACCCGGCCAGGAAGTAATAGGTGGTGGTGCACTCGGGGCCTGCACGTAAGGGTATACAGTCGACGGGGATGAGCAACCCGTGCACGCCATCGCCGCCAACGAGCAGTGCCTGCCCGCTGCTGGTGTATACACTCGGCTCTCCTCGCGTCAATCGATAAGCGACTCTCTCTCCCTCTCTCTCTCTCTCTCTCTCCGCTCTCTCTGTTTTGAGGCTCGCGCAGCAGCCGCCCATAGTGTACACCCGTGTTTTTAACGCCCGTCGTCAACACCGTGTTCCCGACTCCCCTCCTCACCGTGATTGCAGCCTCGGGTGCGCTGCCTCCGCGAGTACCCCATTTTTACACCTCCTCCTCCTCCTACACAGCTTCTTCCTTTTTTTCTTCCCTCTTTCGAGTCTCGTCCTGATCCCTAGTGGTGCCCGTCGACGCCCCTCCACCCGCAACCTGGATATTGTCCCGCGGGAGGGTGACAAACATGAGCCGAGCGAGGACCAGCGGCCACGGAGCAGAACTCGTGCTCCGCGTTGCCCCGTCGCCGTAGTTATCCGCAGTGGAGTTGGTAACTGACCGGTGCTCGGAGAGGGTAACAAGTGCGAGTGCCGTTGACGGGAGCCCGGCGTTATAATATTGGCGCGATGCAGGGCCGCAGGTGCAGAGGCCTCGCGGGGGGTTAGCTCCCGAATTCCCGCGGAGGACGCCACAGGACCGAGAAGGAGGCGGGAGATAGGAGAGCCAGGTGGGACCGGAGGCGCTCGACGCCGGAGACTACTGGGAGCGAGCTGGTCTCGCCAACGGGCGCATGGAACATGAAAGAGGTGAGGACATCCTATAAACTCTCGTTGTACGCTCGATGATGCCTCTCTTTGGCTTTCAAAGGAATCGACTGTTGTATGATGCATGTGTACAGCCGTCGTGTGGTGCGGAGTTGAGTGTTTACGTCTCTCGAGTCCCGATATGGGGAGGAGAGCACCCCCCCACACACCACCTGTATTTTTATTTATCTTTGCGCGTATGTCCCTTGGTGCGCGAGCTTGCACTACCTGCCAACCTCGTTCGTACCACTTGGCGAGATGGGCATGGTTTCGAGGTTTTGCATCGGGTCAATTACTTTTGGATTCAATTGATGCGCGACTCGCGAAAGGCTGGATGTTGATTGTTTTTTTTTTCTTTTCTTCCGTTGATTATTCAGCGGGTAAAGTATAATGTGGTGACGTTTATTTTTATGCTCTTTAATCGATACGTTCGAAATAGCCGGTGCTGCATCTTGACAAACGTACCCAAGATTAACGACAAAGCTAATACAACGGAACGTATTATTCTTGAAATTACGTATATTTGCGTGAATGGTAGCCAAGCTTATCAAGATATTTGTGCCCTCTACGTGTGTGTAGCAAACTGTTTTTCGACGTTTATGTGATGTGCGTGCGTCGCGAAGGAGGCTCTCAACGCATGACGATGAGTATGGGATAAAGTGCAACGTGACGACCCAGTTTTCTTTATCGCGTACGAAAATATCGTCGAAAATTGAATGAAGCCGAGCCTTGCGTATGTAATGTAACGTAAAGTACCTAATGATGGCGTGTTCCGTTGGAACACTGTCGAGTTAACCCCTAGTCACGCGTGTTTTCCCGAATAACAACGAACAAATTTCTAATACGCACGAATCGCGACGTACACGCCCATTTATAGATTAATCAAAATGATAAACAAGCGAAGGAATGAAAAAAAAAAAAAAAATGTCGAATGTAGTTTTATATTTTGTACCCAAGCACGCGAGACTGCCATAGTATACAAAAAAAAAAAAGCGTAAAATATATATACGTAACGTGTATAATGTAAGATTGTATGTAGGGGTAACGCGCGCGCGTGGAGCCATCCATTTTTTCAGACGTGCGTGTATACACGGGCGCGTTTCGCGAAGCTCCGTGCGCCGAGTGACACAGCCCCGCTGTATTTTCTCAAACAACAGTATCGGCCCCAAGACTCCGTTGAACGTCCAAACGGAGAGCCGCTTGAGATGCTCCTTTTTTTTTTTCTTGCGCCTGTAAAATTTCGCATCTCGCTCTCCTTTTTTAGGCAACCCGATGCTTTTTTGGCCACTACAAATATTCCATGATCAATCATTGTAAGCCCCAACTTGATGCAGTACTTTTCGTATACCTAATTAGTCGCTTGGGCCCTTTGTAGCGCGTAAGTATATTATACCGTAACTAGATTCGCATTACCCTGACTAAATGTTGAAATAGCGAGTGGGAGAAAAAATTGAGTTTCGTCCCTACATGAAGCGACAAAGCTTCACTCGCGGCTCCGCACCACATAGTATACATGCATTGTAGTCGAGGCCTTTGATGGCGATGCCTGTACCCTTTATCGACCAGAAAGATGATTTTTTCGTGGGTTCGCCAAAGAAATCCAGCAGACCCAACGACATGGGAGCATGCGTTAGTCACGGGCATGGTGGAGCAGGTGGGGATGGCCACGACTCGGCGAGCAGTAGCTGCCGATTGCGGGCCCAGAGCCAGGGCAGCGTCGGCCCGGACTCGACGGCCGGCACCTGCAGATTGCGCTCTCAGAGCCAAGGCACGGGCCACCAGCCCGAGAAGCAGCCGGGCTCGCCTCAGAAGCGCGGCAGTCACAACTTGGGACAGGCCCAGCAGGGCACCGGCGGGAAGCCACAGCGACAAGTTCAACGGCACGGCCTCGCCGGACGCTCGCGCAGGGACAACTTTTGCCTGTGGTGGTGCTGCTGCTGCAAGTGCTCGTGCGTATACTTTATACACACACCTTTCTCTTTTCGTTCGTGTATTGGATTATTCGTCACTGTAATGTACAAGAAAAATGCCACCCAAAAATTACCATTTCGCTTGACAACGATGACATCGAACATTGGGTACTTTCTCACGTGTGCCAAGTGGGTGGAACTTGGTTTTCTTTTCAATCGCACGCTAATTATCTTGCTTCACGAAGAAATCGCGATCACCGGCAGTTATAATCGAATCGTTTTTACGCGCGAGGTAACAAACGACCGAGGAATTCGAAGCTCAGCTGCAGTACTCGGGGATCGCTCACGTGTAGAAAAAAATGCCCCAGTCACGATGACTGCTTCCATTCGTATATAGGGAATAATTCGAGTGACTCTGCCATTGTCGAAAGTAAAAAAAAAAAAAAAAAAGGAAAACTCAGAGTAAAGAACGTTTCGAGTATACGTTGTACGTTATACCTGCAGATTCCGTGGCTGGTGGAAAGAAAAGTTATGAGCCAGCTATGTAGTCATCGATTTGTCGGGGTACCCATCAATAATGATGGAATCGCGTTTTTGAATATTAGACCGATACATCGGCGAAAGGGACATATATATAAGTAGATGGAGAGAGAGAGAGAGAAACGCTGAGTCGATTGTCTGGCGCCGTTTGGCAGTTCGCAGTGTATTATACACATCGCGGGGTAGTTATGACCCATTTACAGTCTCTTTCTCCATATATGTATGTGTGTATACGTAATACACGTACACCTCTCTCTCTCTACACATACACATCCATTTTACGAGCATCCACTTCCATTATGGTGTACCTATACATACGTAAGAAACCGTGCGCGACTGTCGTGTGTGTCGGTCTTCACAAATATCGGCATATATACAATGTCACCGCGGCTATACCTATATACATATACATAGCTGACTCGTGTATTATATTATAACTCGGGCACGCGAACCTCCATATACGAATATGTATATATATATACATATATATGGGAGGTCGTATACCATTAGGTATACATTTATACTTTGCACATGCAATTACGCGCCTCGCATCGACTACTACTCCACCTGTATACACGTGTACATACACGCGTGTGCTATTGTAAAACTTTTATCCAATACACGAACGTGAAATACGTATGATGATGGTGATGTATATTGATGCATGCGGTATATACATATAAATACCATATGTTAGTGCAATAAATGATGTATTTTCTTCGTGTGTATGTTTCATGTTCGATGGGCCGTACATATATGTGTACACGCTACAGGCACAAATGGTAAGCGCAGTTTATACTTTATATACTCTCCTCCTTTTCTGTAATTGCGAAAACGAGCATGATTCCCTCGGTATTTTTATATATACACACATACGCGAGGGGGATGCATCGGTGGGGGGGGGGTTGTATTTGCTTGTTGTCACACACATATACGTATATAAATGGTACATCGAAGAGTATATAGAAAGAAAACGCGATAGGGCGCGTGCGCGAAAATCTGGGCCGACTCGGCGCCCTCGTAGGTATATACAGGCACTTTGCGAGCAAAGGAGCCTCCTATCGCGCAAAGCCGCGTGCAATATTCAAACAGTCTGCGGCTAATAAGTCACTTGCCTCAATTACCATATATATATATATATATATATATATTCTTACCTATATGTCAAACTAGTGTGCACACTTTGGCTTTTCGTTTCTTTTTTGTCTACTTACCTATTATACCCCCTTTGTGCGACGAGTTTTTTCTTCTCTCTTGCTCGGTTTTTTACCAATATATTACATAGAGATTCAGATGCCGCTTCGTGTTTGTTTGCCAAAATCGCAAAAGCCACGGTGTGCTAATGTTTATACAAATGGCAGTGCGTTGTGGTGCGCGTACAGTTTCCAAGTGCTCGAGTAAAAGATGACCCGATGAGTAAGGCTTGGCTGCAACCACCACCAAACACGACGACAACCGGGAGCTATGGAGTTTTGGCGGAAACTCGTGCTCAAGTAAGGGGGGGGGGGTAACTTTCCACCGAGCCATCGCGTGTACACGTGCGGCTCTCAATACGCCTCCAGAGTGTAGGGTGCCTTTTCATTTTAATTTTCAGAGTCTCTTTTTTATCTTATTTTTCCTCTCGAGGGGAGATTGGAAAATTAATCCCAGCTCCGGGTATATCGCTCTCTTTCTGGGCTGTTTTTTCTTGCATCAAAAGTAGATCCCTGTCGACGGGTTTATTTCAAAACCGGTGAATAAAAAGAGTATCAAGTGCTCGTTAAAATGCCTCCTCGTCGTCGTAGCTGCACAATCGATAGCCGTGTTATTCAATCCCCGTCGTTATTTTATTTCACTTTTTTTTTTTTTTTTTTCGAGTACTCGACGTGAAAAAGTGGAAAAATAATAATAATGACGATAATAAATCGTTAACAGCCCAATGAGGACGAAATGGCTCAATACCCCTTTGAGCCGACCAATTGGGTATCTGCCAAAAACTAGCTCTCAGGTCTCGCAAAAGTGCCGTCGTTAAATTATTTAGGGTATGCACAGCGACAGGTAGGCATAAAAGAGACCGGGAAGGGGTATGTAAATTGAAATCAATAGAAAATAGAGCCGCGATACGATGCAGCCCGAGCGGGACGCAAAGTTATAACGTCAAAGATACTACCGGTCAGATAATGTAGTTACTCACTTGGCACATAACCGATCGCCGCGTGTGTTTTATTGTCCTTGCCTTTACGCGTGTGTAACCTATATGTACAATATAATGCCAACTTTTCCGCGTACGTTCACGCGGAACTCTGATGCGGAGGAAAAAATGTCTTTTCACCGGTCAACCCTTGATTTCTCGCGGATTAATTTTTTTTTTTTAGGAATGCTCCCGAACGAGCCTATTAATGACTCCATGCATGATAATTATTAATGCGATACGTCAAATTGTTTTTTTTTTTCTTCTCCTCATTTACACCGACTCCAGTCTGCGTCCTCCCCCTTTTTTTTTAATTGTTTGGCTGGCTTTCGAAAAAACAAACTCTGGCTTCCGGCGCCCGCGCCGACACGTGCTTCCGCGACTTCTTTCGTTATGCACGTAAATGTACATGCGTTACAGCCAGACGACGGAGGTCGGAGTCCCAACAATGTTAATATACACGCGCGTACGGTACATACAATATACACGTGCACCGTGTGCCGAGTATATAATATATATGCGCGTGGGTGGTGTATATAAATGCGTTATATGTACATATATATGCCAAGTAAAACATGTGCACTTATATATGTATAAACATGTACCTATCCGCGGGGCTGCATCTATACGCTCGCCCATTCATATCGTGGTGTTTGCCGCACATCAGCTACATCACTCGTGTGCGTGCCTCTCTCTCTCTCCGTGATGGTCTAATCTTTCCCTCCTCGCCCTCTCAACGTTGCTGCTCTCCCACGTCCTAAACCGAGTGCGTGCAGCTGCTGGAGCTGGTTCTCTTTCTTTCCTCTTTTCTATTTATCTCTTTCTCCCGCCCGCCGGTCTTTGCATTATACGTGTCTGAAACGTGTATATGAGTCAATCCACAAAAAGTTACCCAAATTTGTCCCCAGCCGGGAAGAAAAAAAATTGTTTTTTGAAGCACACTCTCGGCACATGCCTCATGTTATGTACTGTGCGGAAAAACTCGTAAACATGGGTGTCAGTCGAGGTGGTGCACCTTTTTTTTTTCGATTTTTCATGCAATTATTACGTCCATGTAAGGATGTGTAATTTTTGCATGTCAATGACAAAGAACGGTGTTCACGATTTTCCTTCATTTTATGCAGGATCTCGAGAAAAAGCAGCCCTCTCGCGAGGATTTGTTTCAAAAATTTAATTTTTTTTTTTTCCCTAAGAGGTGACAAACTGGGTATATTTTTTTTGTGGATTTACTCGTATGTGTATATGTATATATAGGTAGCAAAATATGTGTGTGCGTGCGTGTGGCTGCGAGTGTCCCTCGCTCGCATTCTTCGCAGCCTGCGGGCACCAACTTATACACTCTTGTATTGTTGATTCAGTAGAATTTAAGAGCTCGAGTCGGCTAACCGCAAAACGCCGAGAGAATTTTATACATTTGATTTCATCTTCATCGAATTGTTATCGTTTTTCGCTCGAATGTTGTAACTGTATATTTTATACATATACATATATATATATACATATTCATATACGTTAATAGTAAACATGTGCTCGAACTGCAGCTCGTGTCATCGGTTGTGGCAACTTGGGTATGGTTTTGTTCTTCTTATACATATGCTTATGTTGATTTTTTCGTTCCCTCATAATGTGAAAAACTTCAAAAAATGCCATACCCTGTACTACTATAATTAAATGTACGACGATGCATAAGCTTATCTGGTGAAAGTTACGGGCGATAGTGTCACGAGTGTACAAATATATATAATATATATGTTATTCCAAGTCCAAGAAAACAGTATAGGCTGTTAAATGTTTACGTTATCCGATGGTTGGTCGGCGATTTCAAACTATCGCCTATACGGTATGACCTCACCTCGGTGTGTTTGTAATAATTTGACGGTTCTTGCCTCAGTTGGTGACTCGCACCTCGAGAGTATACGCACATCATCGGCAATAATCAATAATTTTGGTTGAGTTTGTATCGTACACGTGCGCGTTAGGATGCCTTGTTTGTGGTTCAAAGAGGAGTCTGATGTTTTAGACCATGAGGATGCCAATAATTGCTCAAAGTGGTTTTGGGGAAGTTTAACGTATGTACAGATGCATTTTTTTATACTATGTAAACATTTTTTTCCTTTTTTTCGCCGCACATTTCATTATTTTATCAAATTGAGTGATGAAAATCGAGGATTATCAGTGGTTTCATCGTTCGTTTAACATTCACCAAGTTTAAAAGAGGGAATTGGCAGTTGGTCTCAAATTTAAAGGGTAGATACATTTTTTTTTTTTTTTTTTTTAAAGACATGTATACTGTTCATTGAAAGAACATATAGAGAGACCGGGACGCTCGACACATTTAAATGATGTCGCGTGAAATTCTTCCGATTTTTACGATCATTCGATGATTCTTCTATATGTGAATATGTAAAAACACCTATTAGGTTCGAGGTTAAAAAGAATACTTGCCTTTGTGTCAGCTAGAATAATAATTAGTAAGATGGTAATTGGTTGAAAGTGACTCATCAGTATAGGAAGTGTAGAAAAACTTACGTGAGTAATTTTTACTATATTTTGTTTCTCAACGTAAAGATTATCATAGTTACGCGGTGAAAAATTGAAGTATCGTCTTGTAAAATAAATGTAAATTGTGACGAAATTCCAAAAAAAAAAAAAAAAAAAAAAAAATTTGCAAACAAAGTTACTCGTCAAATGTTTCGTATCTGCTTTGTAATATACTTGACTGCCAACGAAGCAAGTACCTGACTGCTAGATTAAAAATATTTAAAGCTTTGTGTGTAACGATATATTTTAAGATTGATTTAAGGTGGTTTAAATACTAGGTGCTGAGAAGACTGCATTTTTGGTGATAATTTTTAATTCGCTATTACTCTAAATGGGGAAGATAAAATATTACGAAACAAGTACATGGTACTTTTAAAGATATGGAGCTTCCAGCAACGTTTTTCTAGAATTAAACGATTTTTAAATTTAGTAAAAAAAAATTGTAACCTTAAAAAAAAATCATTTCGACCAACGAAAGTATGACACGAAGTTTTTAGCCTTTTCCATTATATATTGGTAAGATTTTTGTCATAAACTATTAAATAAAAACTCACTGCTCTCCAGTCGATTTCGAGCAGTCTTTTACTTGAGACTTAATAATGTAATAAACAATTCCTTAGACTTTTATTACTATTATTTATTCATTTAACTATTTTTGTACAGTACAACTTTTTCGCACATTAAGTAGGTACTTGACTCCAAATTTTTTCGTATTTCATATTGAGTAGATAAATTTCTAGCAGCAAGTAAGTCATCGCACCGAACGAAAAGAAGAGTAGAAATCGAGGTGACGTTTACATTTAGCTTAAAGCACGATGTCTCGATTAACTCTGTCAACCTATAGTTTCAAAGGCTAGAATCCATTAGAAATTTCATGGGAGCTTTGTGATATAAATTCATAGTAACAGAATAAGTCAACTTACAAACAGTTTTTCTCGCTGAGCCTACTTTGATTATTTCGTGGTATACAGGGTGTTGGTTCAACTTCATTAACAACCTTTCACTCTCTCAAAAGATTTAGTGATGAGCAGCCTCGATTAAACCGATGATGGGATAAGCGAAAAAAGTGCGGATTTTAATCCACAATGGCTATACGAAACTTGATCAAATCCGGTAAACCCTATTACGACGTATCGAGTTGTGGGTTAACCGGCATTGGGAAAATACGAGGGAAAAAAATATATCTGAGGTGAGGCAGAAGTTACGTTACTCGCCCAGTAATAAGCAAAGAATTCAGATTGAGCATTATATTGAAAAATTGATCCCCGTCGATCGATGAAACACATTGAAACCAACTATAAATAAACCGCCCTACGAGGGACCTCACCCCCCCCTCCTCTCTATTTATAATGCGATGAAATATTTACAATCGCAGCAATGGGCGATGCAGGCAACCGAAACGTCCGTATTAAACAAACATATAGCACTCAAAACGATTTGACCTCAACCTCGCGATTATAGGCACATAATCGAACACGTAACTACGAGCATACAATACACGATATATAATAGGATCGCTATTAACGTCACTTTTATATGTGAGAATGGCACTTGCGTGCACAGTGTTTGTACATCTTTTTTTTNATTTTTCTTCTTCATCCACTTCGCGTGTATGTATGTGAATGTCATAGGTAAATAACATATACAGTACACGTATGACAGACGAGCGAGAGGCGTCTCCTTTTTTAATTCAGTCTTTCTTTCCTACTACGCACACGAAAAAAAAAAATATATATATATATCTATGTATGAATATAAAAGAAAAAAGAGAAAAAAGTAGTATATGACGGCTGTACGAGGTGCACGCGCGTGGTGTACACTCGACGGCTGAATTATTACAATTACGTGTACGTGACGTATATTATGCGAGCGACGCGTTTCCTCGAAAAGAGATCCACCGATCCTAATCGACGATTAAACGACTCGTCGTTTGTTGTATACGGACACACGCCGCGTATGATGCTAGAGATAAAATTAAGGGAGCATGTGTTGTTTATCTGTCGTATGGCAGCTTTGTTGTTGTCATTTGTAGTAACGGACAGTATTGTGCATTCGCAGTTTGGCGAACGTGGGCCAAGGCAACGCGGCCTCCCTGCGCCCGGGTGGCGACTACGGGGTGGACGTGGGCCTGCTCGCGGAGCTCCTTGGGGGCGAGTTGGGCAACGAGCTGAACCACGAGCTCGACAAGATCAGCATGGAGGAGATCCAGGCGTGGGGCGAGTCGTTCGACCGGCTGATGCGCAGCCCCGTCGGGCGCACCCTCTTCAAGGTATTCTGCGTGAGCGAGTACAGCGACGAGAACATCGCCTTCTGGCTCGCTTGCGAGCAGCTCAAGAACGAGCAAAAACCCGACAAGATCGAGGAGAGGGCGCGCACCATCTACGACAATTACATATCCATCATCTCGCCCAAGGAGGTGAGTCTATTACTTTATTACTTCTTGATGTACCTGGGTGTGTTGCTTTGGTTCGCCGAAAAGCATTCATTTCGCTGAAACACGGGAAATCATCTATAAACAAATACTTTCCGTGTAAACACTTTTGCCAATCATTTGGATTGAATATAGAGTTTAAAAAAATTACTTTGGTGAATTGCTCATGGGGCCACGAACCCTTCCCAATTTCACTTGGTTGATTAATATGTCATTCACCTAATGTTTTCGCATCGACCGATTTTTATTAAAAGTTATACTCGGGTCCGTCGCTCCCAATAATACAAAAAAAAGCACGAACAAAAAAAAAAAAAATATACACACGTGTCAGTTACTGTATATATTTGGTACAACGAATTTTCACACCCTACTCCGCACCGATCATGCATATGTTTTACGATGATAATTTTTAGCCCTGGAAAACGCGGCGCTGTGCCAGCTCGTTGACGATTGTGCCTTCGACAAAACGACTTTTCTCGCGGGAGCAAAGTTTTTAAACTCGACCCTTTGCACGAGAAAAAAAAAAAAACAATAGTTACTCGCACTTCACAGAGGAGCGCGCGATATACGGAATTCGCTCGGTGAGCAATCACTTAAGCTCTTTTTCTCCATCCCCTTGCCCCGCCTCGAGAGATCCGCGTTGAAATGGAGCCCTGAAATAAGCAGGCCTCGCTTTTCAATTCTCATTTCTATGATATCTGGAACTCCTCGCTATGCAAGAAGAAATGAGAAAAAAAAATCGGGTGCCAGAAAGAGAGCGAACAGAGGAGACACTGCAGGAGAGTAGAAGCATCCATACAATAAGGTACACCCTATCGGTTCACGCGCAAGCCGGCTTGCCTACCTGCAGGCGCTTTCTCCTGGCGATGCTATACATGTTATATTAGCAGCCATGTAGGTATACATAATATACCTGCTTATACTTACTCACAAACAACACACAGCCCGTAGCGACGCGACGAAGGGGTGTGACTGATCGAAGCGCGCTAAATATAAACCCTGGTCGTTTGCTCGTCATTATTTCCACTTACGTCTTTTTTTTTTTTTTTTTTTTTTTTCTTTTTACGCTCTCCGATTCTCAGGATGACGAGCTTTTCTCGTGCATGACGCGACTTTCGGTACACAGAACTGGCCAACTATACGTGCTCGGTTACATGATACATACGCTGTCGTTGACGTCACCCCGAGAGGTGTCGAGATTCGGCCGATGATTAAATTCAGCCAATAGTATATATACTCACCCTTCGTGGAGTAAAAGTAGCTCGATTCCCTTCAAATGTGCCAAAAGACACGGCAGGCTTTCACTGCGAGTGTGGCAAAAAAGAGATGCATCTCGAAAAATAGTAACAACTAGTTTGCGAAACGGAAAAAAAAAGTAGGTGCCCCGTCCCAAAAAGGGAAGGAATGTACGAAGGGCACATTATTATATCCACATGTTGTGTTTATTGTCTATAATGAAAATGTCGCGTGTCTCGATGTAAATTCCAGGTGAGCTTGGACTCGCGGGTGCGGGACATTGTGAACCGCAACATGACCCAGCCGACGCCCCACACGTTCGACGAGGCCCAGCTGCAGATCTACACGCTGATGCACCGGGACTCGTACCCCCGCTTCATAAACAGCGAGATATACCGGAGGGTGGCGCGACTGGGGCACGCGCGTCCCTTCGACAACCCGGCGAGCGCTATGCAAGACGCGAGCAACCGGCCGCTCGAGGACAGCGTGACCAACGTGGTGGGGACCGACCCCGGCCCGGATCCGGCCCCGGCCACTGGCTCCCTCGAGACCCGCAAGTCCAAAAAATCCATCACGTAATCGGGCCCCGCTGCGTAACACCCCTCCGGTGTATAGCATTACATCCTCGTCGACTGATGCGGGGAGAGGAAGCGACGGATTTTTCTGTACACCTCACAGGCAAAGGTGCCCGCCCCTCCCCTGATATTATTGTTATTATTATTATTATTATTAAAATTATACACAGCTACATACATATACGCTCGTTCGCGTGCGCTGGAATTATGATGCTGTCTCCACGTGGATACATGGTGGGATTTTGACGAACACTTTGCCGACAATGAGAAGAAAACAAAATAATGAAAGTGAACAAATCCGCGAGTGCGGGCAAAAAAGAAAAAAAAAAGAAATAAAAACAGTGAAGCACAACAAACGCGCGTGGCTATACGAGAAAAAGGGAAAACAACATTTTTCTTCTTCATCCACTTCGCGTGTATGTATGTGAATGTCATAGGTAAATAACATATACAGTACACGTATGACAGACGAGCGAGAGGCGTCTCCTTTTTTAATTCAGTCTTTCTTTCCTACTACGCACACGAAAAAAAAAAATATATATATATATCTATGTATGAATATAAAAGAAAAAAGAGAAAAAAGTAGTATATGACGGCTGTACGAGGTGCACGCGCGTGGTGTACACTCGACGGCTGAATTATTACAATTACGTGTACGTGACGTATATTATGCGAGCGACGCGTTTCCTCGAAAAGAGATCCACCGATCCTAATCGACGATTAAACGACTCGTCGTTTGTTGTATACGGACACACGCCGCGTATGATGCTAGAGATAAAATTAAGGGAGCATGTGTTGTTTAAACGATGATAATAATAATAATGAAAAAAAAAAAAAAATAGGTCTTCCAACGAGAAGCCATACACCGGGGCCACAATATCAGAGACTATGTATACATATAGATACACCATACAATGCTTGCGCTGTAAAAGAAACAAAAAATCCGCACGAGTAAAACAAAACGATCGTGCGTACATGATAACACTGTCTTGTAGCAAAAAAAAATACAAAGGAGCAAACCTCTCGGAAGCTTTCTCGTGTTGCACGCTACTCTGGAGCTTTTCAAACGCGAAAAGAGCGCACGCACGCACACGCGCGCAAATTTGTCATACGCACACGTTCGCGAGTGTACAAATTGTATTAGCGCGAAAAGCAAAAACAACGTCACGTTAATTTCCGCGTCGCATGGCTCTGGCGCTTTTTTTCCTCCATGCCTCTCTTCTTCTCCCTACTCCTCCTATACAGCATAAAACGCAAGCTCCGTCGCATACGTATACTTATAAATGTATACCCACCCTCCTGCGCCGTCTTATCGCGTTCGAGACTACATGCGTGACATAATTATTGCTATTACAAGTAGATGTACCTTCATTATTATTATTATTATTGTTGTTGTTGTTGCCGTTGTTGTGCACTCTAGCGAAGCATACAAAAGGAGCGCATTTGCTCGCCTCTGTGTTTATTGAGAAAGTCGACAGAGCAACAAGATAAAATACGAGTAACGCACTTTACTTTACCTATGGATGTTACACCCGCCGATTTGTTACAATTTATCATTATAATTTTTTATTCAAAAAAAAAAAGAAAAAAGGAAAAATAAGTGAAAATTATGATATACCTTTATAAAAACACCATTGAATAAACATTTTCGTGTTTCAAGCAATGCAAAGCGTGATGATTTTTTTTTTTTTTCTTTTCTCCGTCAACTTGTCATTTTTTTTTTTTTTTATCCATGCACCACGTTTGTTTTACCCTTTCTCTCTACTGTAACAACATTTTCTCACGAGCAGGCACAACTTAATTTTTCCATACATACCATTTTGTTCCTCGCTCTTGTACTCTATGGACTATACACCGTACCATTCCACTTTTTCCACCGCTGCGAGAATCTAAGGTACATGAAAAAAAAAAAAAAAAAAAAGAAAAAAAACTTATACTTTTTCCCTCTTCAATTATACTCGAGTACTTGTACAAACTCCACTGCGTTCGTACTTTTATACTTACGCGGTTTATGCGCTCGGCGAACTGATGGTACTTATACAGAGGCGAATAAAAAAAAAAAATAGCAGGGGTCGAGTGCTCTCTAATGGGCGCGCTGCATGACCCAAGAGCGCCCGTGGACTTTTCCTCGATTGGAAAGATCCCTCCGACGTGTCCCGGCTGATGCCGTGGATGATGCGCATGGGGTTGAGTTTCTTGCTCATCAAAGGGTTGACAAAATTCTCCGCTGCCAGTCACCTATTGATTCAGTCCGAGTTTTTTTATTTATTTTTTTATTTTTCGTTAACCGAGAAGTGGGTGGTAATGAACCTAATAGAGAAACTGCACGCGGTATTGGCGCACGCCGTATAATATGAAATTGACGGGGAAAGCTCTGCGAGTGCGAGGTATGGGGGGCTCCGTCGTACGGGTAATTTAATTACGGCTTGACCTTTCCGTCACGGCTTGTCGAGGCTCGAGGGTAAACACATTTTAGACCATTGACTTTCTCTCTCTCTCTTGAATTTTTTTTTTTTTCCAAGTCAAGATTAAGCGACTGTCGCGTAATACGTTGAAATGCAAAATTATAATACTAAAGAAGCCAACGCGTACGAGCTTTGTTTCTGCATACCTACTTAGTTTGGGGAGCGGGAAAGTGTAAAAAAAAAAATAAAATAAAAAGTATAAACATTGTAGCCGCGCGGAGAGATAAGAAATACACGGCTGTGTCGAATAAACGCGAGTCCGTACTACAGGCCAAAGAGAGCATGGAGTTACCGGTCAAGAGTTGCTCGGGGGAAAAGTAAAATACATAAAAATGTTGCGAAAAATACAGCAACTCTCGAGAAAGGGACAACTCAAATTTGAGGCACGCCTTTTGCGTCGTTGTGCCGTTGAAATAAACACCACCTAGGATGGCCTAAAGTGTCCGCTTTGCGCGATGAGCGCGAATTTGAGAGAAAGGGTGACAAGGATGGAGCTACGCTCGTTGGCTAGGCTCCAAGTGTTTCTTTCCGGGCGAGCGAGCAAACAACACACGATGCACGAAAACGAAGCGAGTTATGAAAAAAAAAGGTGTGCGAAAGATGGTGAGATAAAAGAGGGGCTCGTGAAGCGCGCGAGAAATGCTAAATGGCACCAGTGGGTGCGAGTTGTTGTTATCTGATGTACTTTGTTTTTTTTTTTTTTTTTTAATACATGCTTGGAGAAGGTTGATACGTATAGAGAGGAAGAAAAAATAACTAAGCGAGATTTCTCGGCGCAAAAGAGTCAGTCGCTATACAGTGTTTGGCCACTACCTTGTATAGACATATATATCATATAAATAAAGTAACGCAACAAAAAAACTGCTACGATGATTCATATTATTATATACATTGTAGGAACGAACCAAAAAAGTAATTGCGTCGTGTAAACGAGTGAAGCGAGGTACACGATAAAAAAAGCTATCAAACTCAAAGTGCAAACACAAAAAACAAACAAATAAATAAATAAAACTCACTACAGGTATTACACGAGTACAAAAATCGATCCGAGTGAGGCAATTCGTTGAAAATTACCGCGTAAGATTCAACGACGACGACCAGGTTGTTTCGTGTTGTGATCCTTGTCGTAATTTTCACGCCAATTTCCTCGCATCGGCATCACATAATTATAAAGACATATTTGCATGTAACACACTTATATTAATGCTTGCATAAGCGCGAGCGTTTTGTTAGCGACAATTGAAATGGGATCCTCCGTTGGCTAAGGTGATAACACGAATTATACGAAGCACAATGTTTTGCATGACATACAAGTGACGTAAGCGCGCGCGCTCGAGTTACTGCATAAATATTATAATTGCGTACAATTAAAGCGCGTCTGTGTGTGTGTGTGTGCGTGCGCGCGTGTGTAATCTAGTCGTGGAAGGAATTGAGGATAGAGCAGCAGCCAAAATATGATTATTCAAGTGTGCGTCGCTTATATGAGAAGTTACGCACTCGATGATAATATTATATAAGCATACGTATATATATGTGTATATACATCGGTATGCAGAAAAGAACTCGTTATTCATGTACTTAATCGACATACGATTAATAGTGTAATTTTACAAGACTTTGCGACTTCGTGTATGATGTACATGAGAACAGCATACTGTTGTACTCGGATATAGCTTTCTTTTGTAGGTTGAATGATTGCAACGCGGTGATTTTGCAAATACTTTTTTATGGTGTATTACTCGGACTCGAACCAACTATATATTATGTAGTATTTAATATCAACTTGACAATGGCTGTTGTTTGTGTATAAGCTTATCTCGATCTATGACGTGTTTTTGTTGCCCATCGTTCTTGTTTTCTCATATATTTGTATATCTTAAAAAAAAAAAAATATATATATATATACAGACCTATATATAAATGCACATGTTATACCTACTATTTATGTGTACCTACTTGATGTACGATATCATTGCAGAGACTTAGGTTTTTCAACAAAAAAATTGAGTCGTGTAATTATTTGTATTGTACGATAAATTGAACGCACAGCAAAATAATGAGCTATAAATATTTTTCATACTGTTGATTGAATTGAAGTTAAATATATGTAATAATCGGTATAGATGCCAACGTGTGAAAGTCTTAGTAAGCCCTAAGGTTATGCAATATTTGGCAATGTACGCGCAAGTTATTGATATATAAGGTGGTCGAATGTATCACTGATATATATATATATATGTATATATAGTTTTTTTGTTTTTTTTATATTATAGTGTACTGACCTACTATGGGTATGTACACTGTCTTTATTCATTCAAAATTTACATTGTCTTTTAACATGTCGTTTTCATCGTATCATTATACATTTCTCTTATTTTCGCTTGTCATTACATTTTCGTTCTTTATTATTCGCATATCATATCTTTTTTATCTCCCCGGTCACGCAGGACCCGGTTATCGAGAGCTCGTCACAATTATTTATTTTTCAATCGCTTTTTTATTTTTCTTTTCATCTTAAAAACTAAATCTTTATCCTAAGTGGGTTTCATGAATTCGATACCCGGCAAGAACCATCAGAAAAAATCTGAGTACCCCGACCGGGAATCGAACCCACGATATATATATAGTTGTTGTTATTTCAGTATTAGTATGAGAAGCGTGGAATGGACATCTAAAGGTGCTCTGTCGGTTCATTTGTTGAAAAAAAAAAATTCTTTTTAAATATTACGGCACAACAAAAACACGTCAAGAACACATCATGAGTCGACGTTTTTCACAAAAAAATATCGCGCCTGCACAAAAAATAATAATAACAATAATAATTAAATAACGTTGTAGGCTAAGCATCTGTTTGAGAAAAGAGATGTCGATTGTGTGCGAATGAAGAAAAAAAAAAAAAAAATTAAAAGTAAAATGTGGGTGTGTAGGTCGATGACATGACATTTACATATTAAAGCAAAAGAGGGTACGTGCGAGCACGTGTTCAAATGTGTGCGTGCGCGTGTGCAATCGTGTGTGAAACGAACAATTTTCATCTCATTAGTTATCAAAATGCTGCAAGTAATTAAATAAATAAAATTACGAACAATGAACAAAGTAAGCAAATTAATAAGACTAATTTCAATTTATTATGGAAACAAGTTTTTTGGCGTAAATTACTTCTATATCTCAAATGATGAGAGGATGGAGAGTAAAAAAAAAAAAAAAATCGAGTTTGCAGAAATTTCGCCAAACGACTTTTCTTTCCGTTTGTGTCACAATCTAAGACGAGACAAAGAAACCGAACAAATAAAAAAATAGAAAAAATAAAAAGGTTGTCTTGTCGATGTTTGGCTCAGACCACCAACAACCCTCGTTGCATTAAAACATGGAACGAGGGGATTTTTCGAGCAGTCGATCGTACAGCGTTCACTGGCGCGCACACAAATGGTAGAGCGTGATGATGTTGCAGGAAAAAATTCCCACTGTGGAAAGAAGCGCTTTAGAGTAAGTATAGAAGCGATAAAAATGGAGTTGGACTCCGGAGACGCAAAAAAAAAAAAAAAAAAAAAAAAGGAGCAGTTCTTGATGGGCTACGGGAAGAACGAGAATGAGAAAAGGAGCAAAAGAAGATATGCATTGAGCGCTGACATTAAGTACACGGGGAGTGCGCGCCCGTGCGTGTGTGTTCAGTCGAGGCTCTCGAGAATGGTCTCTACGTCTTCATCAATAAACGCACAATTTTTCTCAATCTCTTATCCCACCGCTTCGCTTTATTTCTCCTTCTCTCACTTGTCTGCACCCACTATTTGACCCCGCACCCTCTGACCCGTCTTCCGCGAGCTCGTATCTCTCGATTTTTCCAGTCCCCGATCGACCAACTCTTCACTTTATGTGCCCTTTTTTTCCTCGTTATTCCATGTCTGGCTCATATTTTTCTACTCCTTTTTTCTGTTTGCCGTACTTTTACCCATCCATTCAAGAGTGTCGATGACGTCGTTATTCCTCCTCTAATGGAGTCGTTTTTTATTTTTTTATTTTTTTTTTTTTACGGAAACGCAACTGTTTGAAATTTGTTTCTTTTTACCACCCTTTTTTGTTACTTAGTTATTAACTTTTGATATCGTAGATATTTGCGTATAAATGAACACAAAATTTTTTGAACTCCAGTGTTTCCCAGAGTATCGAAAACAAGATATAAGAAAGATCTTGGCATGAGATGAAAAAATCGCTCGCTTCATTAAATTTGGTGTGCATCGAGTGTAAAAAATTAAAAATGTTGTTTAATCGCAAAATCTATATGCGTCTCTCGCTCACATATCGGCCATAGTTGAATCCCGTCTCTTTGCGGCTGTTGGGCTCTTAAAAAGCAAGATGAAAGAGCTGCGTCGAGGAAAAAGGTGAAAACAAAAGTCGAGCGCGTTCTCATGCGTGTATAATGAGCAATAAAAATTTTTATTTATCGCAGGTTCGAGGAGGCGAGGACAGGAGAGTACGTATAGTGATTATTCGCGTGCTCCCACCTTCATTATCCCTCCCTCCCTCTTTTTATGCCCGCGTCCTTCCAATTATCTTATCTTTGGAAAACCTTACACGTCTCACGATTTTTCTTCCCTTCG